ATATATTCCTTGCGAGGAATTACTTCTACATGTAAATGTCACCTATTTTTGGGCTTGATAAACAAAAATCTGGAAATCTAATAAAGCTAAAACGTTTTCAATTTTTCAAATGATATTATGGACAACACACTGCGGACACTTGTCTGCTGTTATCTTGTACAATGAATCAAGAAACATTTATTTCTAGGATATTACAATACAAGTTGGAAAAAAAAAAAAAAAAAAAAAAAAAAAAACAATTAAAGAAAGTTGCAGTTACTGATTACAACCATCACTTACATATCTCAAGAATACACTATTCATGGACAAACAACCAATCTACCTCTACTAATACTCAAAATCACATATCAATGGCCCAAGGTAAGAAAGTGCCACTATAATCAAAGGCCTTACTATCATAAGAGTTATTATTCCTAATCCCTTGATTACTACCCTCCTCAAAGCTGGAAGATGAAGTAAGTACTTTTCCAGCCATCTGAATGATATTCTCAATCTCCCTCACCACCTCCCCCATTGAAGGCCTCTCTGCTGCAGATTCTCGTACACAACTCATGGCCAAGTTGATAAACTTTTGCAGGCCATCAGGGTCTCTATGAGGTGTGAGAACCCGATCTACCACCTGATCGAGTTTGCTGCTGTCCTTTTGATCGTCCATTGCTTCGGACACCACTCTCACTATGTGCTTTCCTCGTTCTATGGGTGGCCTCGCAGTTATAAGCTCTAGTAGGACCACCCCGTAGCTGTATACATCACTTCTATCCGTCAGCTGTTGTGTCATGTAGTATTCAGGGTCCAGGTATCCCTATACACAAGTTTTGAAAATGTGAATCATCTGTGTTGAGCATATAATATATATATAGACATAAATGTGCAATTCAACTATCAGCTTAGGCTTTTAGTTGAGATGGAGCACATCCTTCAATTTGGTATTAGAGCCCAATTCCCCGGCTACCGGGTGCTAGACTTGGCCTATACCGGCCTCCACCCAACAATTCCCCCTCCCAACACCAACCATTTAACTAGACTTGGCCTTTACCGGCCTCAGTCCAACAATTCCCCCTCCCAGCACCAACCAGTCTTAAATGCCGGTGCTGGATTTAGCGTTTTACCGACATCCGCCCAACAACCCCCCGGCCACCAGGTGCTAGACTTGGCCTTTACCGGCCTCCGCCCAACAATTCCCCCTCCCAGCACCAACCAGTCTTAAATGCCGGTGCTAGATTTAGCCTTTTACCAGCATCCGCCCAACAACCCCCGGCCACCAGGTGCTAGACTTGGCCTTTACCGGCCTCCACCCAACACATTTTAACTACATTTTAGTAATAAAGTTTTTCAGGATGTTTACTTTACACGTACCAATGTGCCTTTGACTTGGGTGCTGACATGCCCCTTGCCAGCATCTCCCAAAAGTTTCGAAAGGCCAAAATCTGCAACTTTAGCATTCAAGTTGTCATCAAGTAAAATGTTGTTGGACTTAACATCTCTGTGTATGATGGGAGGATCAGCAAGCTCATGTAAATATGCCAAGCCTCTGGCTGCATCGAGGGCTATTTTCAGTCTCCTCATCCAATCCAATTGGATACCGGACTTTCCTGTATGCACATCACACACTTATTAGTTCTGTTTCTCTCGAAATCACAGACAAATGAACGGTTCAAGTACGTTTTAGTATCAGAAAATTGATTTACCTGAAAGGCTTTCCCTTAAAGTACCATTAGGAATGTACTCATAAACCAGCATTTGTTCACCTTGCTCATAACAGAATCCCACAAGGTTGACCACATTCTTATGGTGAATTCTGGACAAAAGCTCGATTTCTGTTTTGAACTCTAATGCTCCCTGCATTGACCCCTGCTGAGCTCGTTTGATGGCAACTAACTCCCTTGTAGCAAGAAGTCCTTTGTAAACCTGCTAAAGCTACTCATATGAGTCCAAACATTTTTTTTCAGACACAATGCATACAAATGTGTTGTTATTCTTATTATTATCATTCTTTCTTTAGATGAAGACGAAGGTGGACTTCCTCCTCCACAATTAAATGGGGTTAAGATTTGGGAAAATGAGCATTTGCAGTACCTTCCCATAACCCCCAACTCCAATGCAATTGGCATCCGAAAAGTTGTCTGTGCATTTCCGTGTCTCTTCAAATGAGAGCCACCTTGCTCCTTTGAGTTGTGGAACGCTACCACTCTTATCAGGATTCCAGGAGGCTGCATTTGTGTTAAATATAAAGATTGAATTAAGATCCGAGTATACAAGCTAAAGAGTCGTCTTCCTTGATTGAGAATTGATATTTACCAAAAGGGTTGTTCTTTCCAGTAGCTCTATTTGCCCTTGACCTCTGGCGAAAAGCATAGACTGCAATACAGACTAGTAACACAACAAAAACAGAAGCGCCTACTGCGACTCCGATAATGATGCCAGTATGTGATGACTTTTTGGATCCTGTAATAAGGGAAAGTTACAGATATAGAGTAAACTACAAATATTATACAACTGTTCGCTTAGCTCACTGGTTCAGTAGGCAGTATTTGGGAGAAGAGACCAAGTGTAGGAATTATGCTCAAAGTGGGCAGATCCCTTGTGTGCACCGGCATTTGGCCCTGTGTGGGGATTATGCCCAAATGCTCTGTCAGACAGGGGTGTGGGGGGTCCTTGGGAAAGATTTTATTCCACTTTTGGTCTCTTGACTATAGTGTCATTTCTACTTTTTGTCCTTGACTTCGATTTTTTCCACATCTAGTTGATTTTTAAAATTGTTGAACTTTTAATCTAAAATGACCAAAATGCCCTTAAATATAGTAAGGTGAGGTTTGGTGAAATTTTCACGAAATGAGGGCATTTTGGGTATTTAGGACTATAAGTTGAACGATTTTAAAACTCGAGAACTACAAATGGAACAAATCAAAGTTGAGAACTAAAAGTGGAAATGTGATCAGAACTAAAACAAACTCTTGTATAAGACATTGGATGCTTTGAATCAGGAAAAACAAATAACAAAAAGTTGTGGCTCTGGAGTTCACTTAATATGCTCATACCTCCGAAACAGCAATACTCGTCAGCTTTGTAGAAGAAGGGTCCAAAATATTCAACATCGAAAGGTTGACGGTTGAGCAGGAAACCAACATCTGAATATCCAGTTCTGTTGAAAGTATCTTGCCCCGAAGGAAAGATTTGCACTCTGAACGTGAGGTATTGATAAACATCAATGGTTGGATCAGTAACAGAAACTGAATCCACAGGTAATCCACGGGATAGGAATGCAGCCATCAAAGAGCCATTAAGGGATCTAAAATAAGTCGAGTTCTCAAAGTTTGAGAAGGAAAAGGAGAAAAAGTGCAGAGTTCCCGTTTGTGGATTTGAACACTTGCAATTGGGACTTTGTATTTTGCCTGAACCACAATTTAAGTTTGGACAGTTCCCTGATGATAACAATGGATTGTTGTTGTTCTTCTGAACAATACAATAGTTTTCTTTTGCTTCATTTCCCTTGCAAATGGGATTCCCAGTAAGCCTGCAAGATGTAAACGAATATTACCTTCCAAACTAAGGAATTGTAAAAGGTAAAAAGATCATAAAGTGATTAAATAATCTTGCTTACACCATCGTCATATTGTAATTGTTTTTCTGTTCAAAATCGACGATGGAATTATTCTGCAAATCAACGGTCAAATTTTTGGGGTAGCTGCTGCCTATGTCCAAGGTTCCGCTGAGATTATTGTTGGATAATACTCTGTAATAAAAATAAAAAGGCACATCAGATTCCCGAATTATCGCCCAATGAACCATTGCTTTCCTCTGAGCAATATATATCTCAACTCTTAAGATCTGTTCCCCTTATCTTCCCATGCTAAAAAGTGGAAATTGTGTTAACAAAAATGACACTTACACTGTCTCCAATTGAGGAAGGCTAAAGAAACCAACTGGGATTTTGCCTTGAAGTGTTGTGTTCACCATATGTCTGTTATAGCACATTTAGCAAAAAATGATTTAAAAAGAAAAGGCAAAAGGAGTATTGTTCATGTCACACACGCACTGCTGACAGAGGGAAAGAGAGAATACACTGTTGTTAATGACAGGAGGCTTGAAAGCCATCGAGGAATCTCTGAGGCGTCAAAACTATTATTGCTCATGTCCCTGCAAAACCCATAAAAGCAAATGGATCAGACTTCAAAGAGCCCCCTGTTAAGAGTTCCACATTGAAAATATGAGAGAACATATGGGTTTATAAGGCCATGAGTTAGACTAGCTAATTGATTGGATTCAGTTTTTTTAGTGTGGTTTAGGCCATGTGCATTATAGCCCAGTTGGATGACCTTAGCACAATCTTAAATTATAACATGGTATTAGAGCTTGTTCGGGAAGCATTTGCAACTTACAAATAGTGAAGGGTGTTCATGGATGATAGGTTAGGAAGAGGTCCTGTCAGATTGTTATTAGACAAGTACCTGCAGCAAAGAAGAATACATATTACCAAAGATAAGACTAAATGCAAATGAACCCATAAGTTTATCTTCAATCTGCTTACAGCTCATTTAAACCCGTAAGGTTATTGAGGTTATCCGGAACAGATCCATTTAGTGCATTTGAATCAAGTCGTCTGTTAACATACAGTGGATAATGATGTCAAAACCCAAGGAAAGCATACACAAGTATTAGTATCTGCAAATAAGGCAGAGATACTCACACAACTTCTAAAGTCCGCACAAGTCCAAGACTTGGAGGTATTTCGCCACGCAGCTGATTGTGATCAAGAATCCTAAACATAAACAAAAAAACATCAGTATGCTTCATGATGTTTAGGATGTTTTTAACTGTGCGCATATGTTTGTGTTGGGTGGAGGCCAGTAACAAGCCAAGTCCATCAATTGGTGGCTAGGGGGATTGTCGGGCAGAGGCCGATGAAGGGCCAAGTCCAACACCCTGCCTCTCGAAAATGTGATGGCGGTCAGTTGCGCCTTCGCTACTAACTATAGCTTTTGGCGTAGTGGTAAGCGTTTGATCCTAACAATTTGTGTATATATATGTATGTATATTTGTATGTATCCTTGATCAAGACACCCTTGTAAAGCATTCCATTCTAGTAGGATGTGACAATAACCACATCTCGTTTTAGGAACATAATATAAATCAAAATAACATCTTACTTATCCAGTAAAAATACTTACACATGTATTAGCTTCATGTTGGGACGGAAGAGTTTTTCTGGGATGCGGCCAGAGAGCTGATTCTGGGACAAATGGCTGCACGAGAAGTATAGACAACCTTAATATATCTACAAAGACGAGGAACGCAAAAATCCGAGCATCATAAGTTTATGAGTAGATGACTTACAAGTGTCTGGTATTGGTTAAGTTGTCCAAACCAGGCCCTTGTCCATTAGAGACTGGGATATCACCAGTAAGTTTATTGTCACTTAAATCTAACCACGAAAGTTTAGACAAATTGCCTATTGAACGTGGGATTGGTCCATTGAAGCTGTTAGAAGTCAGAGATCTGCAGAAAGGCAGTAACGAAAAACTTTTTTCAAAAAGCTAAATGAGTATAGGGTTCAAGAAAACTCTTAAACAGGTAAATCATTTAAAATTCAATGAAAAGGATGCCTTTGAATTAATATTCAATCAAGAACTCCATAATCATAAACTTTGAGCTAAAGTATAATAAAATACTTTAAAATGGATGTTCTTACATAAAGACCAGTTGCTGTAGAGATCCAATTGAATCTGGAATTGGACCAAAGAAACTGCAACCAACTAAAATTCTGCATTGAAAAGTAAGAAATAAATTTTTAATCCATACTTCATAGAAGCTGTGCTAATTCCTATTAAACAAACAATGTAGGCCTTTTCCTTACAAGGTTGTCAAATTCTTCAGATTTCCAATTGAAGATGGTAAAGTTCCTTTCAGGCCAAGGTTGTTCGAGAGATCCCTGCACCAAGAATCGTACATTCATCAGAATTAGTTCTTATACATTTCATTTTCAATAGCCTCCACTTAGTGCATAAATAGTTATAGACTACATAAAAATATAAAATTAGTCCTTAATCCAAAGTGCAGAAAGTTGCAGCACAAATTTCACAACACCCACCTCCCCCAATTGTTATACCATGGATTAGGGTCCAAGCCTGATCCAAAAATTATGTGTAACATATTATGTGCCTTCAGTTAATAAATTATGTCTGTAAATAAATTGAAGACACAAAATATGTTAACTACAGTCACATAATATACTATTGATTATATTACAAGGTAGTATATGTTCTATACTTTCTCTATCTATTGCAGACCAAAGAGTCGAGACCCCACCACCGAGGTCCGATCCTAACTCTATTACAAGGTAATATCTGTACTATACTTCCCCTATCTATTGCAGTCCAAAGAGTCAAGACCCCACCACCGGGGTTCGGTCCTGTGACCTTCCCTCAATGGGAGCCACAGAGGTGTCATTTGAGCACAAGGTGCTTGGTTTAGAAATAGGAAGGGCCCCTTTTTTTTTGAGTACTACTACTCTGTCACAATGTAGTATCTATTCATAACTACTTTTTCAACCTACTGAAGCACAAAGAGTCAATACAGGCCCCACTGGGGATCGAACCCATGACCTCCCATTTGGGAATCAGGCCAAAAGATGTGTTTCAAAAGGAAGGTGCAAATTAATAAATCCATGGATGAGAAGCATGTGAAGACATACAAATGTTGCAACTCAGTGAATGACCCAAGATCTCCAAACTCACTGCCTTCCAGCCCTATTCCAGATAACTTTCTGCAAATGAAAGTTGTAAACAAATGAATAACTCAACCAAAATACACAACCATAGAATTTTTCGGCAGTTTATTATACAGTGGATGTACATTGCGACCACTCTGGAGTTGTTACAGACAATGCCATCCCAATTGCTCCCGCAAGGATCCGCCCCCGACCAATTTGGTGGCAAGTTGCTCCAGCTTGACTTGAGGGCATTTAGAGCAGACACTGCATAATGTTAAGAGAGGATAGGATTATAATAACAACTACTGGCAAGACAAAAGTGACAAATCCATAGTTTCCATGTCATATATATTCAAGCAGAGCCAAAGCTGGATAGCTCATCAGCCAATTCTGGCAACAATAACCAACTATTTGATGACACCTCTGTTACCATTCCAAATGGATGGTCACAGGTCACAGGATCAAACCTCTGTGGTGGGGTGGGGCATTGATTCTTTGGACTGAAAAAGATTGAGAAAGTATAGAACAGATACTACCTTATAAAGAATCGTGTTTCAAAAAAAAACAAAAACAAAAAAACCCAGAAGAAGAAGAACAAGAGGAATTAAATTCAGCTCATGTCCTAGCAGTTTACAAAATTTCATACTTGGCTAAAGAGTGCAAAAGAAAGTAAACTCAGAAAAACTCACAATCATCAGCGTTTGTTTCTGCCAGAATAGTATAGATTTGAATGGAAAATATAAGGAAAAAGACCAGAATTCTTGAACCCATTTTCCCAAATTGCAAGAAGTCAACCTCTGATCAACCCTCAAAACCAAAGCACTATGGTATAATAAACCTATATCAACCTTGTAATTAACGCCAATAAAGAATTTGGTGCCTACAAAGCCTAGCTCTAAACAGCAATATATCTAGATAACAAGGCTGTACAACATAGAAACTGTCCAATAAACTGTAGCCAACTTCCAAGCTAATATTTTTATACATTTGTAGAGCATATATATATATATACAAATAGCCCACAAAAAGGACAAGCATACGAAGATTTCTTGGTCAGAAGCATCACCCTGAATTGACCCAGCATCCTATGATTTCATCATGTTAAAAAAACAAAAACAAATATAATCTGCCTCTGTACTTGGTACACGCGGATTAAGGTTGAGAAAGTCAGCGATTACGTGGATAAGAACAAGACAACGAGAGAACTGTAGCTCTGCTCTTTTCTTTGGTGAGTTTGAGGAATAACTCTTTGTCTTCTTCTTCTTCTTCCGTTAGACCCTTTTCTTAAACTAATGGATCGGAGAAGCATTCAATATTAAACCAACTGCCCCATAACTAAAAGGTATTCTTTGAATAAAGAAAATTGGAGATGGCGACAGAAATTGGGCGGCCAAGACGCACACACATATTATTTTACAGCATTTTTGTGGTTAAATTGGACTCAGATCAATTCAAAATTGATATGCGGTAGAATCTCACTTGAAAAGCTCTGCTAACTGTTGTTATTTCATCCAGAAGATTGGAACTTGTTCAATTTCTTGAAAGCATTCTACAGTGTACAACAGGAATGCTTTTTGCTGGGAAATGCTTACAGCTACAGGCTACAGTGAGCTACAACCCGGTGAAAAATCCGTTTTCAAAATGGAAGATGGCGCTTTTTCCCCATAATTATAAGTTTATAGCACTTTTATCTCTTGAGTTCTTCCTGTATTTATATTTGTCTCCTCAATTATTTTAAAAATGGTAATTTTTTTCCTTTAATGTTAAATGAACATTTTTACCCTTAAAATAATTATTTCATTTATTTTTCTTCTCTAACAAATTATTACTTATATATTGGGATGAATATGATTCGATTTGAACTGAACCGAACACTATAACAACCCGAACTAAAACAGTAGGGATGGTTCTTATTACAATTTAAAATCAAGAAAAAAATTGTTTAATTTAGTCTATTTTAAAAATAAAATATAGAATTTAAATTAAATAAATAAATAAATTTTGAATCGACTGTTCAAATCAAAACTGAAATTATAATAAATGCGAACCGAAATCGCCGATTGCTATAGTGTTTTGATTTATAAATGCGAAACAAATTTCCGGTTCGCATTTATTCTAATTCCAGTTTCGATTTGAATCGGCGGTTCAAAATTTATTTACTTATCTATTTTTGTTAACCTCTATTTTTTATTTTAAAAATAACCTAAATTCAAATTTTTTTTTTTCCGATTATGAATCGTAACAAGAACCTTCTTTACTATTTCAGTTCGGTTGCTATAGTGTTCGGTTCGATTCAAATCGACCGTAGTCATCCCTACCTATAAGCAATAATTTGTTGGAGAAGAAAAATAAATGAAATAATTGTTTTAAGGGTAAAAATGTTCATTTAACATCAAAGGGGGGAAAACTATCACTTATAAAATAATTGAGGGGACAAATATGAATACATGAATAACTTTAGGAGGAAAAAGTGTTATAAGGTTATAATTCAGGGAAAAAAGTGTCATTTTTCCGTTTTCAAAATAATGGAGCAAACTAACAAACAAATGAACTTACATGGCGTTTTATTGGAATGAGAGAATTAGGGAAAATGAATTGTAATTTCCTAGTAAAAGAATAAACTGAAATTTAAATTATATTATTTGGTAAGCATGAATAAAATGATTGGAATTGAAAGGAAATAAGTAAATAAAGACTAAAATATTCTTATATAATAATAACATAATAATAAGAAAAATGGTAAAATAGTAATTCATCATAGAATTACAATTGAACAAAATATGAAATTGCAATTCTTAGGGGAACCCTAGGAATTGCAATTCCATGGTTGGAGGGAATTGCAATTCCCTCCAACCAAACCATGGAAATACGAGTTTGGTAAGAATGGAATTGCAATTCCATTCTATCAAACACCATGTTATAGGGGCACTACCATATTTTTCAACTTACGAAACCTATAGTATATTCTCCACAAATTTTTTGATTAGCCATGAATAAAATGTATTTTTAATATATTAAAGGTAAATTATTTATATATTGAATGTAAATTATTTGATGATATACAAATAATGTACATTTCGTACTCAAATAATTTACTTTCAAATGTATCTTTAGTACACAAATAATATACTTTTAGTATATTAAAAATGTATATTTTATTCATAGTTCCCATAACTGTGTGGATCATGCTCCATGGAATAATAATTGATAATTCTCTGAAACAAATGAGTTTGTTGGTTTGTCGGATTCTATTCAACGGTCTCGTTTTTTTTTTTTTTTTTTTTTTTTTTTTTTGTGAATGCTACTAACTCATACTTTCTCAACCTGTTGAAGCATAAAAAGTCAACGTCTCTATTGAGACTCAATCTCATGACTTCTCATATAAGAGAGTCACTACATGTCATATGAGAACAAGGTGCTTTGCACGGTCTCGTTTCTTTAATTAAAAGAGATGGTGTTGTTAACAAAGCCCGTAAAATGTGTGACATGTGATTTTTTATTAAATATAAAATCTAAAAATTGAAATTTGTCTTCCACACGATACAATTGCTTCTTCCTCAACCCCATTACTGCAACTGCGACTACCTGTTTCTTTGACTCCACTGCTGCAACTGCAAAGCTTCATAAATGATAATCTTGCCATACTACACTCATCCATTGCTAAAATGTATTAAAACAACATACATAAAGTACATTTTCTACATAGGTTTAGACTCATTGCTAGAAAGTATTCAAACAAAAATGAACTTGAATAATGTTGTATGTGATTCCACTAAAACATGAACCTCCAAGTGAACTTAAACAAGAAAGATATTAATGTACGTCATATTTTTATTGAGCACGAGGATGAAGGCACTTCAGGTCATATATTAGGGATTACTTACTACTATTATCTCTTTTTGGCCATCGACTTTTATTTCATGACAACAAATTAAAAAAATTAAAGATGCCTCAGAAATAGGCCTGCCAAGAAAATATGAAGGCTAAAATAGTAACATGCATGTAGAAATAAATTGAGGATTATATGGACATCATGGAGTGAACTTTGCAATATTAAAAAATTTAGAGGGTTGGGGTTTCGTCGAATGAGGGAATTCAACATTGCCATGTTAGGAAAGTGAGGAGTGTCTTAAATTAATACTTTTTTTTTTTTTTTTTTTTTTTTTTTTTTTTGCATATTTTTGCACTTTTTGCTTGTTACTCATTTTATTATGATGTCATTTTAGTCACTTATAAAATTATTGTATGTGTTAGGTGATTTGACAAAGAAATGATGTTGAGTAACTTTCCCTTCGAAGGCATGTAATTTACTTGGGAAAGATCAAGGGGTACGGAGAATTGGGCACAAGAGGGGAAAGAACAACAATGCCTTATTACTATTATTTGTTGGAAATTGTGGTTTGCTCGAAATGAAAAGCAGCTGAATAATATAATGTTGTCTCCCTCAACCATTGTTGGTATTGCTACAACTTATCTGCATGACTTGAGGAAAGCAATGTATAAAGACTAGACTCAAAAGGGCCAAGGAAACATGGTGGAAAAGTGACTAAAACCTAAAGCTGGATGGAGGAAGTTGAATGTGGATGCTATTATGTAGGCACGGAGACATGGAAGATGGGATTCGACTGTGTTCTAAGAGATGAAGATGAAACTTTTATTGTTACGAAGTCAATCCCTTGGAAAGGAGTTTTCAAACCCAATGAAGCCAAGGCCATTGCGAGAAGCCCTTTGGCTGAAGAACAGGAACAAAGACTTTATACAGGGCGAAATAAACTGTATACGGGTATTCAAACTCTTCTTTTAACCTTATTGTTTTAGATGTTAAGGAAATAATGTTCAGTCTTAATCATATTTCCATGAAGTTAGGCGATCTGCGAATCAGGCAACTCATAATTTAGCTCGAGTGTTTGTTTCCTTGTTAGATGGTATGGAGAGGTGCGCTAACCCTCCGGACTTTATTTGTAATGCTATATTGCTCTTTATTATGATTTATTAAGTTAATGTGGTGGTGCTGCTGGTTATTAAAAAAAAAAAAAAAAAAAAGCTGTAAAAAATTAACAAATACTTGAAGTTATGGGGAGGACTCTAATATTTCAGAACCCACGAGGCCTAAAGTATAATTCTCTGAACCGAATGAGTTTGCCGGTTTCATTCCAACGGTTCTCTCTCCCAAAATGCAGCACACCGGAGAGACTACCATTTCCGGCGACGCCCGCCGCGGCATGGTGGTGGTGGAGCTGCCGCTCGGCGACGCTTCCTCCACATTCAACTTAGAGAAAGCAGTGTGCAGCCACGGGCTGTTCATGATGGCACCTAACCACTGGGACCCACTCACAAAAACCCTAGAACGCCCGCTACGCCTCTCCGACGACCACCATTGCGCTGATCACGAAATTTCCGTCACCGTCAGAGTCTCTCACCCCTCCGACTCCCCTCAGTCTCTCAGGCTCCACGTCTTCGGCACTGATTGTCTCTCTGCTCAACAACACCAGTCATTGATGGTACATTTCTAATTGGAGTACATATTAATAAATATATTTGATTTTCTTTCTAAATTAAATTTCTTGAACTGATTCGCCTACGTAGAAATGCATTTATTGACATCACGCTAACGGGTCGATCTCACCATGAATTAATCACATAAAGTTGCTTTAAATTTTAGCGCAAAACTTTAGTGCATTTCATCTTCATTATATATGTGGGTTGATTGATAGGGTGTATTGTAGTATAGGCTCAAGTTAGAAGAATGTTGAGATTATCAGAGGAAGAGGAGAAAATGGTAAGAGAGTTTCAAGAGATGTATGGGGAAGCAAAGGAGAGAGGATTTGGGAGAGTATTCAGGTCGCCGATATTGTTTGAAGACATGGTCAAGTGTATTCTGCTCTGCAATTGCCAGTGAGTTCTTGTATTCAAAGCCATCATTCCCTTATGGTCATTGGATAACTAAGTTTCTCTGTAAGTTCTTGTTGTGTGTTAAGTCGGAGTGTGGCATTGATAGTGATAGTAGGTGTGTAATCGTGCCGAGTCAAGTAGTCAAAGCTCAAAACTCTAGTCGATTAAAATACTTGAAGCTCAAAGTTGACTTGATTGAGCACAAAATATTATGATAATAAGAATTTTACAACTAAATATCATAATAAAACTTAATACTACATCTCGATTATGATCATTTTATAATATATAAATATATTTGTTAAATTTTTAAACTATATTTGTATTATATAAAAATAAAAAGCTCAGATTCGGTTTGATTCGTTACTTGAAGTACTTGCGCTTGACCTCAACTTGACAGTAATCAAATAGAATTTGAACATTTGTCAAACTCTGAGTAGCTCATGAGTAGTTTGACTCGCTTACACCCTAACTAACAAGGTTGGCCCTTCTATGTTATTTCTGCCATTGTCTGTGAAATATGTAAAAGATTGGACTTTGTATGCCTGGTTGTTTGAAAGAATTAAGTTGTTACTCTTAGTATAATGAATTTCTTCCTTTTTGTATAGGTGGTCAAGGACATTGAGCATGGCTAAAGCACTTTGTGAGCTTCAATTGGAACTAAGTAGTAGTGATAAAAAGTTTAGTCTTAGTGTTGAAAGTGATCATTTTATTCCGAAAACGCCTGCTGCAAAAGAAAAATGGAAAAAAGCTGGAGTTCATAAATGCTCCAAAAACCTGTCAGCAAGGCTTGCTGAAGCCCAAGCAACTACAGAAGAAGATAATGTCTTGACAACTGGTTCAGCTGAAATTGTAGACTGCCCGCCAAAGTTCAAGGGATTAAGTTCAAAAGACATATCGTCAGATAAAAAAGAAGACTTTCTCCTAGGATGTGACATATCTCAAACCCCATCAAACCTTTGTAGTGATAATCCATGTTCTTCATCTGACCTGCATTCTGCAGAAGCAGTAGAGCTCAATGCCCTCAATGGTGTGGGGAATTTTCCTAGTCCAAGGGAATTGGCTGAACTCAATGAAAGTTTCCTTGCAAAGCGCTGTAATCTTGGCTACAGAGCTGCCCGCATTATTAATCTTGCTCGTGGTGTAGTTGAAGGCAGGATTCCACTCAAAGAAATTGAAGAATGTTGCAGACAGCCAAACTTATCGAACTATGATGAGTTGGCCAGGCAGCTGAAAGAAATAGATGGATTTGGGCCATTTACTTGTGCAAATGTGCTAATGTGTTTGGGATATTACCATGTGATTCCTACAGATTCCGAGACAATCAGGCATCTAAAACAGGTTTTGTTTGTTCATTCTCTCATTATTTTATTCTTCCCTTCTTTCTCAAGTAATTCATGATGTTTACAAGCTCAAAATGTCACCTGCGATTTCAATACATTTTCACACAGGTTCATGCAAAATCCTCTTCCACTCTAACAGTTCAAAAGGATGTTGAAGCAATTTATGGGAAATATGCACCATTTCAATTCTTGGTATATTGGTAATGCTAGTATATCCAAATTTCCTATTTCAATTTATATATAGTAGTATGTTTTGAATCTTTTCTGGTTGAATAATCTTCTTGTTTCAATCTTTTCTGGAGCAGGTCGGAGATATGGCACTTTTATGAGGAATGGTTTGGAAAATTAAGTGAAATGCCACAATCTGGTTATAATCGTATTACTGCCTCGAATATGAGACCAAAAAGAAATGCCAAAAGCAAGAGGATCAAAACAAGCGCTTGAGGTAACAAGAAAAATGTTACATATTCATATCTGATAAAGCTTTCTGGATTGAGTGGCATGGCTATTTACAGTGTTTTCTTCATTTTGTGTAGACCATATTATTGCCAATCAAATGGAAGACATGGCTAAAATAGGATTAATTTTATAAACCATGTACTTTGCTTTAGTATTTGTCATCTATAAGTCAGTCAAGACAGCCATGAATTTTGTAGTCTTGATAAATGAAAATGGGCATTTTTATAACTTGTTGCTTTTCACTCATCTTGTCATGTGCCCCACCTAACCTACACTTTCTACTTCACACACTGCTTGCCTCTACTTGCATAGGGCATGAGGGGAAGGTAACTCTAACTGGAATGTTTATAATGTGGGACATTAAAATTCAAGAAATGTAGGTGAGGGAAGGTTACTAAAGTCCAACGCGAACATAACACGATCTCAAAGATAGAACACTGTAACTCGTTTATACATCATATTGTGTTTATGGAAACTAAATTTCAATATTGGTAATCAGTTAGTCACTGAATAACATCAAGAATAGTATATCCACTCATGGCAGGAACATCATGGAAGGAATCTAGGAATTATATCCTGTCTTGGTGCCATTTGATGAAGTATGGAGGTCCTGAGGAATAATCCACTAAAACTGTCAAATTATTGCTAACAATGCAAAATAAATGCAGCATACTTGAAACTTTTTTTAATAATAATTTAGTGATGTCGGGGAACCCAAATTTGTATAGTTATTGGAGACAAAAATCATTATATGTATTTTTCCTACATGTTCTTTATTGCAATTAAAATTTCCCATTTTGTTAAGTATTTCATAGCAGTACAAAAAATGAAAATGCTACTTGTTGCACCACTTTTTTGCACGTCTGACATGACTGAAATGACTAATAGAAATATCAGTCTTTCATTCATATTCATTGGTCAACATGACTTCATAAAACAAAGCTACCCCATCAAATAGTGTGATATTTGGTGCAAATTGGATTATCAAAATACAAAAGTGTGTACACATCCCTAATAATAGAAAATTTTCCAAGTTTTGGCTCAATTGAATATTAGAAATATCAAATTACCATGCGGGTTGAAGCTTATCTATGAACTTTATTAATTCTGAAATCATATATGAAATGTTTATAGATATTGGAGATTGTAGGGGAGGCACTATTATTATTGAGAAGATTTGAAATGGCAAAAAATCAAGAAAAGACATGAAGTTCTCAGTACCATCAAGAAAATACATAATAATCACAGGACAGATTTGAACAACAACCTCAAGCTCATGCATCAGCAGGTGCACCAGGCTGATTCTCTGGCATAGCATCTTGGAAAGCTATTAGCTCTTTGTATGCCTCATACATCTTAAGTAGAAGAGGGTACTCATTCTGCAAATAGTGTAGGGAGAAGAAAAAGAGGTGGTCACAAGTAAACAACAAATGTGAAGGAGAATGTGCACTTCAGAGATTCCGATGTATTGCTAGCTCGTTATGAAAGTGCTTGTAATGGAGAAGGAAAGAAGAGAATTACAGAAGGTAGAAGTGTGTCCATAGTAGGCCTCACAGGGGTTCAATCATTATTTTGTATGATTGATGAGAGTTTCCCAAATTATATTTTATCAATCTAAATGAACAAGAGAGACTAATTATGTACATTATCAGATCAAATAAGGTTTGGATTAAGGGTATGTATTACCATATCGACACTGAATCTCTTGACTGCAGCGTGAATCTGCGGTGCCAAAAATACATCAGCCTGCAAATTGTGACCAGCATTTAAAACACTTTCATTAGTATGCTTTTCCCCTCTTGTTAACCACACATTTGTTACTATCCTGCTGGAGTTATGGCATGTATGATACATATTAATAAGAAAATTCGGAATGTAGAGGTTTTAAGATCAACAAGATTGGAACCTCTGATCCGGAGACCTGATTTTAAGATGAATAGTTTTTTTTTTTTTTTTGGTTGCCCAAAGGTATCCCTCCAGCCGAAAGTCAGAAGACTAATCCTCCGTCCCAACGGTCAGCACACTAAGTGGTAGGGGACTGGCCAAATGGTTTGCTCCATTCACATGGGTGGTGGGGATTGAACCCCCAATCTCATGCTTAAGGGACGAGGTGCTGAACCACCACGCCAACCATGTGGGTTTAAAATGAATAGTTTCAGTCCAGTGTTTACCAAGTAAAGAAACTAACCAGATAAACTTCATCTCCTGTGGCATATTTACCCGCAAAGTCTTTCAGAAGTGATTCAAGTGCTTCAAAAAATCACAAGTACAATTTAGATATAAAGAGACTTAATGGGGTTTCTTCAAACAATGTCTCAGTTAAGATCACATTGTTATAAGGATCAGAGGAACAGAGCTTACCATCAAAGCCTTTTAGAATATGAGCTTGAGTCCACCGAAGTTTCTCATCTGGACCAAACTTTTCAGCAATATACCTCTGGAAAATTTCTAAATCAGATAAGAACTATACATAACATTCCCCATTGTTTCAATCACCGAGCAAGTGGCATTTGTATTCTTACGCTTACAGATATATTTTGTAGAGGCTGTATATTTGCAGAAATAATATTCGCAGCCTACAAGTGAACAGAAGAAGAAATGTAACCAAAAGTGTTCTACTGGGGTAAGAAAGCAACATTAATTAACTGTGTGTGATTTATTGATCTGAAGACTGTTGTATTGTAATCTGATCAATGAGTACAAGCACTCAGGGCTCATGTAATTATTTCTGCAGAAGAGAAACTTTTAGTCCTATGAGACATTGTCACATTCATTCATTCAGTACTTGACCTTTAATTTGCCACATTAGTATTACAATTATATTTATCCAATTGACTTTAAGTTTTGGGACAATTTGATAATTTGACAATTTTAATCTGACCCAAAACAAAATGTTCATAAATGACATAATAAATGTTGGGTAGAAGTTGGTAAAGGGCCAAGTCCAGCACTCTAGCTCTCGAAAATGTGTGGCGGTATGAGGCAATAAAGTTGCGCATTCACTACTAGTTATAGCTTTTGGCATAGTAATAAGCACTTGATTCTAACAGGTGGTATCAGAGCCAATTAAGACGGACTAGCGTAGTGGCAAGCGCTTTACTATATCGTTTGTAAGCATTTTCAATAAAAAGAGAACTAAAAGACTATAAAATACACCCTCTGTCCCATTTTATATCCTATTTACTATTCATTGGTCAAACCAACTCTTTTTTCTTTTGATTATTTTCTTTCATATTTCTTATTTTTAAATTTGATTTTTTATGTTTAATTGTTAAATATATAAATTTTGTATACTAATACTACGTATTAAACTTAATATTATGAAAAATTAGATTAAAAATAATTCCAGTCAAGTCTCGTTAACCAAACCAGACACATACAATGGGACGGAGGGCCTCGTTAACCGAACCAGACACATAAAATGGGACGGAGGGAGTACTAAAATATCATAGAAATTAAGGGAAATTGCAATTTTGAATAGTATTATTGTGGGACTAAAAGTGAAATAATCTTTATGCAAAACAAATAGCAAGATAAAATATGGTAACCTGGAAATTTATAGCCTTCCTCTGAAGATCGTTTGGCAACAAGGGATGCTGGGGATACTTGTCTTCAAGATACTGTAATCTCAATTCATTGCATGTTATTATATCCAAACAATAACCCAAATCAATACTAGTACACAATAACTAAGCTCACCATCAAAATTGCAAAGGAATCAGAAACAACAAAGTCCCCATCCACCAACGCCGGCACTAACCCCATCGGATTAATCTTCAAATATTCTGTACTTCCGGTCAGCCAAAGAAAATAACAATAATAACATATGTATATTTTGAGTTGACTAACCAGGGCCAAATCGATCTCCTAGGATAAAGGGAGTTTTCTGCTCGTATTCAATTCCTGTGATTTAGGTTATTTCATCTTTTCAAAATTGACCAAATTACAAAACCTTAATCGAGATCGAGGATTGAAATGGGAAACCTTTCAGATTAAGAGCGAAACGAACGCGGCAGGAGCAAGAGCTCATCCAGTGGGAGTAGAGCAGCAGCTTGTTTGAGTCTCCGCCGCCGCCGCTGGCGGTCGCCGCCTAAGCAACAACCAGGAAACAAAAAAGGGTTACGCAATTAACTAAACCATTAATTAATTTATATATATATGAAACAAACAGAAAAACTGCTAAGTGCTAACCATGATGATGGTGAAGGAAATGCAGTGATTATCGTAGTAGAGTATGGAATGAGCAGAAGCAATGGGCAATGGTAGACTGGTAGTTTGACCACCGCGAATACAAATAACAAATGAGTGACAACATAAAGTTTGACCAGAGCGAAAGAATTGCTCCCAAAGCTAAAAATCAGAGGTGGCACATTGCCACATCAGTTTTTTTTTTTTTTTTTGAGTTCTTTTCGGGAGGTCATTAGAGCATCCATAGTATTGTAGTTAGGGGTGTGCAAACTTCGTTAATTTTTTTATTAACCGACCAAGTTATCGATTAACCATTTTTTAACCAAATTTTTTCGATTCAGTTAATGATTAAAGATTTTTTAAAATTTCGATTAACAGTTAATTCGGTTCGAAACTTTAGTTAATTGAAATTTTAAATATATATATATATATATATATATATATATATATATATATATATATATATATATATATATATATATATATATATATATATCATGGTTGCAATAGGCGTTAGGCGCTAGTCGGGCGGTAGAGTAGCGCCTAGCGCCTAGACGGCCTAGGCGGGGCCTAAGCGGCCTAGGCGCTCGCCTAGGCGGCTAACTGAAAAAATGAAAAACAGTGCACATGCGTAGGTGCATATATGTCATATTACACACACACACACACACACACACACACACACACACACACACACACATATATATATATATATATATATATATATATATATATATATATATATATATATATATATATATATATATGTCATATAAATGAAAAAAATTAACAAGGTCGAGTCGGCCGGGTAAACTTGGCTAACTCGACAGAAATTGACGAGTTAACTCAGCGTAATCGGCCGAGTTAGGCGCTAGGCGGCCGAATTAGGTGCTAGGCGGGCGCCTAGGCGGCCAGTCTCCTAGGCGGGAGCCTAGGGGGGAAATCGCCACGGCCTAGGGGCGCCTAGCGCCTAGGCGCCGATTACTCGGTGCCTAGGCGGGATTTTTGCAACCCTGATATATATATATATATATATAATTTTTTTTTTTTTTTTGAAGGCCAACAAAGTTGAATTGGTATATTGAATCACCAATTGGTTCAGAAAAGGAGGAATATCCCTCTATACAGAGTGAGAGGTAGATGCATCCTCAACTTTAGCTAAAAAATGGGACGACCGAATTGGCATTCCTTTTAACAAAACTAATTGAAAATTCAAAATAGAACTAGCTAACCATGACTGAATAAAAAGACCAACATATGAACGAACTAAAACGCGGTGGTGTAGATATAAGCAAATTAAAGTGACGGACAATCTGAGTAAACCAGGACATCTGAAAAATCATGCTCTTTGAGCCAAGAAAGTGCCTCAAGTACCGCCATTGCTTCAGAGGGGATCTTGAGCACATGTTAGGGGACCGTTGACGGCAGCCACAAAGCTCCCATCATTATTATCACAACACTCTTGATGAAGTTATAGGAGACTCAGTCGTATGGAAGAGAATAATTGGAGAATTCCTTTGCCAAACTTCTTGTCAAGATGGATGAGCTACAGAAAGGTATTTTAAATTCACCACAATTAGCAAGGCTTTGTCTACTCAATCTGAGCGTGTAGAAGAATCTAACAACTCAGTCTACACGTGCTTAAGAAATTTGGTTGATGATCATAGAAACATGCAAAAGAAAGTTGGTGAAATAACATTGAAATTGAAGAGGAACTTGGATACTCACATGATTGAGTTGGTAAAAGTTCTTGAAGAGGAGAGAAACCACTCTAAAAATTTTACGATGATGCGAAACAAGAACTTTATCAATGTTATCCACCAACAAGAAAATCAGTTGAAAGATTTTCGAAATGAAGTAGGCTCTCTCACTACTTAAGTTGGTTGTTTGTAGGACTTTGTTACATTATGCGTACAAAATTATGGAATTTTCGACCACCTGAAAGTAATCTTAAATCAAAACACGATGGCCAAAACATGGAAGAAAGGAGAAGTTTTGAGGAATGTATCAAATGGTTCAAACTAGGCGTCCTACCGGGCACTACCATCACGGAAGCATATGGTTTCTACATGACAGGACAAGTGTGAGAAAGGTACTACAATGTTAATCTTGATAATGATTTTCCCAAGCTTAGAAACTACATAAATTATTTGTTGGAAAAAGGAAAAAAAATGAAACAATTATCAAGTAAAATGTTGTGTGTGTATGTTGTAATTTTTGGTGTAACTATAAGTTATAAGCTGAATGATTGTGATGTATAACCTTAGAATATCTTTTGCGCATTATATCTCTTTAGTTTTGGCATCAAGAGTTATTTTTAGATTTAGTATATGTATGCTGCATAATTGAGGAAAATGAATTAATAAGAATGAATTATTCATTAGTTTTATTCTCAAATATGCGTCTAGAAACTTTATGTCTAAAAATAAATTTTTTCAAAAGGCTAAATCAAATGACGGAGTATAGGTTTTTGGCATCATAAAAAGGGATAAAATGTTAGGAATATTTTGTAATTAGATTTTGATGAGTCAAAATAATGTATTTTGTTGAAAAATATAGCCCCCTCTATTTTATTTGTAAAATAACTATATATCAATTTCTTGATTATACGAATCGAGAATTGAGAAGGAGAACAATTAAAAGGAGAACAAAAACCAAAGGAGAAGGAAACAACTAGGAGAAGAAGAAGAACTAAGAGAAGGAGAATAAACTAAGGGGAAGAAAATCAAAGGAGTTAATCACGGTTCGAGTCCTAACAAGATGATAAAAATAAAATGAGAAGTAAAAATTAAGAGCAAGGTTCGACTTTGGTTTCACTGCAGACTCGGGTTCGGCAACTTTTGGGTTTCTCTTCCTCTCGGCCGGCGGTTGTTTTGTAGCGACTACGAACGGAAGTTTGTCGCCATGTCTTAATGCTCTCACGGTTGAGGCTCTTGCTTTCAAGGAAGCGTTGTCTTGGTTAAGGAATCACTCAGTTCACACGGTTACTTTATTTACAGATTGTCTGGTCCTGGAACGCCACTTAACTGATTCGTCTACCACGCCGAGGTCCTATGTAGGGGTGGTCATTGACGAATGCAAAGCTATGATGTCTTCCTTTATTTCTTGTTCCCTTTTTGCTATTCCTAGACATTTAAATTCCGTTGCTCACACTTTAGCTTCTAAAGCTACAGCTCAGGCTAGCTCTATGTACTGAGACTCTGTCTCTCCTGACTATGTTGATTCTCTTTTGCAGTTGACGGTAATAACGTTACCGGTAAATAATAATATAATAATGCTAAAAGAGGGTAACAATAGTTGTATTGTCTTTTGTCTCAATATAGAAAGTATAGTCTGCCATTGCTAGCTGAGGGGAGCCCCATTTATACTTAGGGTCCTAACGGTAACAACATGGGATATAAATGGGGAGCCTAGCCTTTAACTCTCTCTCATCAATGGGGACTTCAATGCTGGCTTCAATGGTAGTAAAGTGGCACCTGTTGGAATTCCTGATCGTTGGAGTTCTGCCCATTGGGTTCCCATGTGATGCTGAGTCAATGCCCATTTGTGATCCGGGTCGGGTGCCAGCCCTATTATCCTGTCACCAGTCCCCCCTACTCATGAGTCAACGGATGTGTTTGAGTTGACTTGGGAGTAAAGCTGAATGTATTTTGATCTTGTGTAGAATTCTCTTGATTTAGGATATTTTATTTGATCCTGTGTAGAATTCTGCTTGATTTAGGATATTTGGTTTTGTTTTCCAAATCCCTAACTTGCCTTCCAAATCCTTGATTTGTGCTTTCCCAATCATTTCTTGCTTCACTTAACTTTTTTATCTCAAGCTCCTCTCTAATATAAACCCCTGTCTCTCTGAGCAATTTGAGAGCACTTCTTCAACAACTTTCTGCCACAGTTCTGTAAGTCTTCGCTGTCATTATTATTTTGCAATTTACTTTACAACGTATTTATGCATGTATGAATATACTTGCTCCCTTTTTTTTTTTTTTATCGGGGCCGAGGCGCTGCCTCAGCCTGTGGCCGAGGCGTCGCCTCAGCCACCTGGTCGAGGCGTCGCCTCAGCCACCTGGCCGAGGCGTCGCCTCAGCCACTTGGCCGAGGCGTCGCCTCAGCCACCTGGTCGAGGCGTCGCCTCAGCCACCTGGCTGAGGCGACGGCCGAGGCGCGACCTCGACCTGGGGCCGAGGTGTGTGCCTCGGCCCTTTTTTTTTTTTTTTTTTTTTTCAGATTGGGGCCGAGGCGCGGTTCTTGACCAGGGGCCGAGGTGTGTGCCTCGGCCCTTTTTTTTTTTTTTTTTTTTTTTTTTTTTTTTTTTTTTTTTTCAGATCGGGGCCGAGGCGCTGCCTTGGCCTGTGGCCGAGGCGTCGCCTCAGCCACTTGGCCGAGGCGCGGCCTCGACCAGGGGCCGAGGCGTGTGCCTTGGCCACTTGGCCGAGGCGCGGCCTCGACCAGGGGCTGTGGCGTGTGCCTCGGCCTTGGCTGAGGCGCGGCCTCGGCCATTTTATTTTATTTTATATATATATTTTTTTTCGATCGGGGGCGCGGCCTCGACCAGGCTTTTTTTTTTTTTTTTTTTAACACGCTCTTTTCCTGACAAGCAGTTTTTGTATCCAAGTCGTCCGTACCCGAGGTGAGTTTAGTGTCTTTGGCTTCATAATGGATGTCACTCCCTTGATTGATGTTGGAGAACTTGATTTTGACGAGGAATATGATGATTCCCCTCTGTTTGAAAATTTTCCCCCTCTTCCATTTGTTGCTGACTCGCCTACACCTAAGCCCCAAATGAAAAAGAAGAAAAAACGCAAGGCCTCCTATTCTGTTCTTGATAAGTCCCTTGTCTTGTCCATACAGCCTCAATTAGGGGAACGGGATTGGGATGATATTAGAGGTCTCCTTAGTCCTGACGTTCTGTCTCTCCCTCCTGACCCTCGAGGTAATATCACCGACCCACCCTCGGATAAGTATTTTGGGGTCCACCTTCTGTCGCTATAGGTTGGGCTGTGGTTTCCCCTCCATAAGTTTGTGGTAGATTTTATAAACCACTATGAGATAGTCCCTGGCTAGCTAGTTCCCAATGGTCACCAGGTAATTGCGGGCTTTCTTGCTATATGTAAGGACAAAGGGATAGAACCCATGCTAGATCTTTTCCAGCCTCTTTTCATAGTTGGTAGGGCTTCTCAGGAGGGTAAGGGATTCGTCCAGATTTCGAGCAGGCCACATTTCAAACTCTTTGAGGACCGTCCTACTTATAATAAGGATTGGAAACCCAAATATGTCTTTGTCACTCTTGTGAGTCGTCCGTTTCCTTTTCGTGTTACGTGGGGATCCCATTTACGTTGCCCTCCTACTCTTGACATGAGTCCCTCCCTCCGCCGAGATGTAGATGATTTACTGGGGGATGGTCTCTTATCGATCGTTGATTACACTACCGAGTGGAAGCTCGCGGGCTTAGGCTTCGTGAGGACTCATCCAGCTGTTCTTTCGCCCACGGGTACTCTTTAGTTACCACTCAGTATTTTATTCATCAACCACTAACTCTAACTTGTCTTCTTTTTATTGCAGGTACCATGTCTTCATCTTCGAGGACTAGCCAATACTTGTCGCGACCGGATCCCCCCCTAAGAAGAGCAAGGTGGAGAAAGGAAAGAAGAGTCAAGCCGAGGCCACGGAGGTGATGCCGCCTCCGCCGGCACGCACGCCAACTCCATCCAAGGACGTTGAGCGTACGCCTACCCCAAAAAAGGTCGCCCCGAAGGTGCGTGTGCCTACTCCAACCGAGGTTGACGAGGGGGTCACGCAGCCTCCATCGACTCGGACGCCCACGGCCGTTAATTTTTCCCCTCAACCCCCCGAGGTGCAAGGAGATACTTCTACTGAGTCCAGCTCGCGTGTTCGGACCAACTTGATTCGACTGGGAATGGACGTGCCACCCGGAGCGTCGTTAATAAATAAAAGTCTTGATGCGGTTGAGTATGCTGCCCGTATCGCTCCTCCTGCGGACTTGGAACACCTAGTAGCCATGGATGTCAACATGCTGCAAGAGCGTTATCTCCGACACAGTTTTGAGGTTACTGTTTTCCTACTTAATGTTCCCTTTCTGCCCTGGTGTGTGTCTTACTCTGTTTACTTTCAGGCCTTGCTAGAGGGACAGATCATTCATGCCCAACGAGGGCGGGTGATGGACTCGCTCCTTGAGGATGTTAAAATTAGGGACACGGACAACAAGAGCCTCAAGGACCTGCTATCGATCCGGGAAGGGGCCTTGAGCAAGATGGAAGGCGAGCTCGGGGCGCTAAGGAAGGAACACCAAGCACTGTTGGCTCGGGCGGAGGCTATAAGCAAGATGGAGGGAGAGCTTGAGGCCCTGAGGAAGGAGCACGGAGCGGCTAAACTTGCTATCGTGAAGGAGCGGGAGGACCACGAGAGGACCCGTGCTGGCCATGCCGACGCCCTCGGCCGGGCTGTGGAGGTCTATAAGAGTTCCGCCGAGTTTCGGGGGGACGCGATGCACTATATGTGCATTCCTGAGGCTATCCGAGAGTTCCTCAAGACTAGGGCTGGCCAAGAGGCGGTTGAGGCTGAGGCACAGGTGGCTTTTAATATTGGGCGGTACACGAAGCAACAGGAGATCTTTTCAGTGATGAGGGAGAAGGTTCCAAATTTTGACCCCGTGTCCCTTGGCTTGCCTGTGATAGAGAAGAATCCGGATCCTGATGCTGAGAATGAATCCACTAATGATGTCACAGACGCTCGTGAGGATTCTTTGGTGGACGAGTTTCACGGCATTGACACCAGCAATGTCCCCAATGTTCCACTGGATCAGATTATGATTGAGGAGCTCTCGGATCATGAGTAGTTCGTAGTCTTTGAGATTTTCCCTTGCTTTCTGGTTATGTCGCTGAACAATTTGCTTCCTGTTTTTGAACAACTTGCTATTATTTTTAGAATATTCGAAATAAACTAGTTACTTCGGAATAAACATGTTGTTATAATTTTTTTTTTTTTTTTTTGCCGAGACGAACGTGGCCGAGGCGTGCGCCTCAGCCACTTGGTCGAGGCGTCGCCTTGGCCACTTGGCCGAGGAGCGGCCTCTGCCTGTGGCCGAGGCGCGGCCTCCGCCTGTGGCCGAGGCGCGGCCTCAGCCTGTGGCCGAGGCGTGCGCCTCAGCCACTTGGCCGAGGCGTGCGCCTCCTTAGCCACTTGGTCGAGGCGCGGCCTCGACCAGGAGGTCGAGGCGTGTGCCTCGGCCGCGCCTCAGCCTTTTTTTTTTTAACGTGGACGGACCACGAGCACGAGATATTACTTCGAAATTTTTTGTAAAAGATGATAACGAGCTTGTTTTATTAAGTAACATAGACGGACCATGAAAGTAAGCTATTATTTCCCAGGACTTTTAGTGTGTAGAGCGGACGGGCCGCGATTGCCAAGCACTAATTCTAATGATTGCTACTACAAGGTTTTTAAGGAAAGTACTTGATCAAATGTTCCGAGTTCCATACCCGATCGATCATCCTTCCCCCTGTAGTTCTTAACTTGTATGTCCCTAGACGAACGACTTCCTCCACGACGTAAGGCCCCTCCCACTTTTTTGCGAATTTTCCCCCTTCAAGGGGTTGGCTGGCTTCCCTTCTTCGCAGCACAAGGTCGTCGACTTGGAAGTAACGGGGTCAGACTTTTGCGTCGTGGTAGGACTTTAGTTGACGACCATAGTTCTCTATCTTGCAGAATACCGCCTCTCTCTTTTCATCCAAGAAGTTTAGATCCACCCTTTGGTGGAGTTCATTTTGTTCTGACTCGAATTCCTCCACCCTTCTACTAGGTATGATTACTTCCACCGGGGCCCGAGCTTCAAATCCATAGGCGAGTGCGAACGGGGTTTCTCCGGTGGCCCTTCTTGGTGTCGTGCGATAGGCCCAGAGGATGCCATCGAGTTCCGCCACCCAGGCTCCGCCGGCTACTTCTAGCTTTTTCTTGAGGCCGTCGAGGATGGTTCTATTCGCATTCTCCACTTGCCCATTCGCCTGAGGATAAGATACCGCTACCCGGCTATGCTTAACGCCCCATCCTGCTAAGAATTCTGAAAATTCTCGTGCCTCGAACTGACGTCCATTGTCTGTGATTACCTGGAGGGGGATACCGAAACGATACAGGATGTTTTTCTCGACAAACCTTTTGCACCTTGCTGCAGTGATGCTCGCTAGGGGCTCGGCCTCCACCCATTTCGTGAAATAGTCAATGGCCACGATGATGTACTTTCTGCTTCCAGTCCCCGTGGGAAGGGCCCCTACCAGGTCAATTCCCCATCTTGAAAAAGGAATCGCGGTGCTTACCGGGGTGTAGTTCGTCGCAGGTCGACCCGGCAGTGCTTGGAATTCTTGGCACTTGGGACATCGCTTTGTATATTCGGCGCAATTCCTCAGCATTTTGGGCCAAAAATACCCTTGTAGCATGATGCGGCGTGCAATGGTGTACGCCCCTTGGTGCGCGGAGCATACTCCCTCGTGGACTTCTTTTATCACCAACTTCGCTTCATCTGGATATAGACACCTCAGTAACGTGCCGTTGTAGGAGCGTTTGTACATCTTATCGCCCGAGACAACGTAGCTAGGTGCCCGTAACTTCGTTACCTTGGCGTCTGCCTCGTCTTGCGGTAGGGTGCCATCTGCCTTGTATCGCTTGATATGATCAATCCAACATGGCTCCCTAGTCTGCACAGGGAAGACCCACGAGATGTCGATACTTGAAGTTTCGAGGTCTTCTAGTCGAGCGATCTTCCTAATGTGGCTGGGGACTCCGGTACTTAGCTTTGAGAGCATGTCGGCGTCGGCGTTCTGCTCTCTCGGTACCTGGTGTATCTCATATCCCTCAAACTCGCACAAGGTTCTCAACACCGCGTCTCTGTATTTCTGCATGCTTCCTTCGTTGGCTTCATACTCCCCAGACACCTGGCTGACAACCAGCTTGGAGTCGCATCGAATTCGGACCTTTTCAGCTCGTAGTCCCGCCGCCAATCGCAGTCCATTGAGGAGGGCCTCGTACTCCGCCTCATTGTTAGACAACTTGAAGTGGAATCAGATGGCATAGTAGGCGCGGAATCCCTCCGGAGTGACGAGCACCACGCCGCCGCCGCAGCCTTTGCTGTTGGAAGAGCCGTCTGTGGACAAAGTCCACCACCCTCCATCTTCAGTTTCTACTTGATCCGTTACTTCCCGAGCTGTGCACTCCACTATAAAGTCTGCAAGAGCTTGGCCTTTGATGGCGGGCCTCGGTTTAAAATCTATGTCAAACTGACTGAGATGCATGGCCCACCGTGCCATCCTGGCGGAGCTGTTAGTATTCCGTAGGAAGCTTCCCAACGACTGATGTGAAAGTACGTGGATGGGGTGAGCTTGGAAGTATGAAGTGACTATGGCAAATACTGTTTTCTCCAACACACTGTACCGGAGCTCCGCGTCGTGAAGGGCTTTGCTTACGTAGTAGATGGGACGCTGAGTCCCTCCTTCTTCTTTGACCAGCACGGAGCTGATCGCACCCTGTGATACGCCCAAGTACAGGATTAGGGTTTCACCTGCCTCTGGCTTTGCTAGCAGGGGCGGGGACAACAAGTATTTTTTCAACTCTTCGAAGGCCTTCTGACAGTCTGGCGTCCACTCGAACCCTTTGCTCTTTTTCAAGATTTGGAAGAAGGGGAGGGAACGTTCAGCCGATTTCGATAGAAAACGGCCTAAGGCCGCCAGACGCCCGTTGAGTCTCTGGACTTCCTTTATGGACCGCGGAGGCTTCATGTCAAGGATAGTCCTTACTTTTTCTAGATTCGGCTCAATGCCGTTCCTGGTGACCATGAAGCCCAAAAATTTGCCCCCATCAACGGCGAAGGTGCATTTTTTTGGGTTCAAGCGCAAATTAAATTTTTTCATAATGGAAAATACCTCGCTGAGATCCTCGGCATGGGAAGTGGCCTTGCGACTTTTGACGATCATGTCGTCCACGTATGCTTCCATGTTTCGTCCCAGTACTGACTTGAACAGCTTTGCCACCATGCGAGTGTATATGGCCCCGGCATTCTTCAATCCGAACGGCATAACCAAGTAGCAGAATATCCCCTCGGGAGTGGCGAAGGCGGTCTTCTCTGCGTCCTCCTCATGCATGGATATCTGATGGTACCCACGGAAGGCGTCCATGAAGCTCATGAGTTCACATCCTGTCGTCTCATCCACCAACTGATCTATATTGGGTAGTGGAAAACGGTCCATAGGGCATGCCTTATTGAGGTCCGTGTAGTCCACGCACATCCTCCATGTCGATCCTTTGGGAGCTAAGACTACGTTGCTCAGCCACTGTGGGTAGTAAATTTCCTTGATGTGCCCTATGTTGAGTAATGCGGTCACCTCCTTTTTCACGAACTCTCTTCGTTCTGCCGACATATACCTTTTTCGCTGATGCACTGGTTTTCCACTGGGGTCGACTGCGAGCTTGTGGGTTATGATCCTTCGATTTATGCCCGGCATGTCCTCTGGCCCCCATGCGAACACCGTGTGAGAACGGCGAATTACATCCACTATTTGGGCCCTTAGCTTTGGGCTTAAGCTTGTGCCGATCTTCACCACTTGGTCTGGTCTGGAGGGATCCAGAACTATATCTTCCGTCTCTGATACGGGCTCGGCGCGGGGCCAGGCCTCTTCTTCTTTGAAAATTTTCTCCGCGATCGTGTGGACCTGTAAGTCCTTGCTGCCAATCTTCTTGCATGCCTTCACGTAGCAACTGCGGGCTGCCCGTCGGTCACCTCTGACGACTCCTATCCCATTCGGAGTGGGGAACTTCATGCACAAGTGTTCCACTGATATTATGGCCTTGAGGTCCTCTAGTGCTGGCCTCCCCAGTATGATGTTGTGCGCACAAGTGAGCCTTACCACGATGAACTCCATGTCCATCTTGCGAATGTTGGGGCTCGTGCCTATCTCCACGGGCAGGGTCACCGACCCTTCTGTTTCCACGGAATCCCCAGTAAACCCAGACAATGGAGTTCGTGCCTCTTTGAGCTGGCATCTAGGTAGCCCCAACTTGGTGAAGGCGTCGTAGTACATCACATTAACCGAGCTTCCCGTGTCGACCAAGATGCGATGTACGATCATATCATTAATGTCCATCTTAATCACTAGTGCGTCGCGATGGGGTAAGGGGCCCTCGGGGAGGTCCTCGTCAAAGAAAGTGATGGCCTCCTGCCTCTGCTTCTTCCCTTTGGGAAGACTCACCACTTCTCCCACGTACAGCTGCCTGCTCCACTTCCTCCTCTCTGTGGGTGTGTCGCCGCCAGCTGGTCCACCATAGATGAAATGTATGGTGTGTTTCTTTTGTCGTCTGGGCGCCATCTCGGTTTCCTTCTCGCTATCATCCTGCTCCGATATCTGGTCGTGGTCTCTTTTCTTGGCATTCGAGGTGGATGGCTCGGCGCCATCCTCCTTCCTCCAGACATTTTTTGGTGGATTTTTTGATGGGTCGCGCTGCGGCTGTTGCTGCTGCTTGGATCGCTTGACAAAATGCCGAAAGTAGCCCTGCTGGATGAGTTCTTCTATTTGTCTCTTTAGCACGTTACATTCGTCCGTGTCGTGCCCGGGTTGCCTATGGAACCTGCAGTACTTTGCTTGGTCTCCTTTGGGGGAGACTTTCATGCATTCCGGTGGGAACTCGACTATTCCCATCTCCTCAGCATGTTTTAGGATGACGCTGACGGGATGGGTAAGCGGAGTTAGGTTACGCAAGGGAACCAGGCGAGGCCGTTCATGGTCCCGGCCTTTCCCTGCGGCCGGGTGGTTCGAACGTGGCGCCTGGCTGGGCGGACCAGCTTTCCCAGGTTTCCCATTCTTCCTGCCGTCCTCCTCATCTTTTTTCTTCCTGTCGACGTCCTCTGCTTCGGCATAGCGGCTAGCCGTCCTCATCAAATCTTCGTACGAACAGGGGTGGTGGGCGTTCAGCTGCTTGTGAAAATACCCTGATCTCAAGGCGTGGATGAATATCGGGATCGCCGCCTTGGAGTCGAAATCGTAGACATTATTGACTTCCTTTTTCCACTTGATCAGGAAGTCTTTGAGGCTCTCGCCTCTATCTTGCTTTACTACACAGAGGTGGGAGAACGGTGTTTTACGCTGTATGCTACCTGAGAAGTACGTCAGGAAGCTTTTGGACAACTCTCCAAAGTTTTGGATTGACCCGTCTGGGATGGTGTTGAACCAATCTTGGGCCGTTCCATCCAGGGTGGACAAGAATGCTCGGCACATGATGGCGTCCCCTGCCCCAATCATTACCATAGCAGCCTTGTACCTAGTCATGTGGACACGTGGGTCAGTGGCTCCCGTGTACGCTTTGATGGCGGGTAACCTGAAGTCCCTCGGCAGAGGTATGTCCATGATGCTTGGGGAGAACGAACGGTGTTGCCATTCGTACCTCGGGTTCCGGCGACTGCTCCCGTGCCTCTACCCTTCTTGTTAGCTCCTCGATCCTTCTCTGCAGCCTTTCGACTAGGGCCGACTCGTCAGGGTGCCGGCGCGGGACCGGCTGCCGCTCCTCCATGTGCGGGGCTAGTTCATCGGCGCGCCGTCCATCTGAGTGTCGACGCGGAGCTGGTTCCTCGACGTTTCGTCCCTCCAGGTGTCGGTGTGGAACCCGCTCACCAATGCGTCGTTCGCCTGCTGAGTGCCGACGCGGAGCTGGCTCATCGACGCGTCGCTCCGCCGAGTGCCGACGCGGGGCCGGTTCATCGAAGCGTCGCTCATCCGAGTGTCGACGCGGGGCCGACTCGTCACCGTGCCGGCGCGGGGCTGGCCCACGAGACTGGCCCATCCTTTCTGAGGGCAATCTTTCCGCTTCTCTTTCCTCGTGTCGATGAGGGCCTCTAGCGGAAGACCCCTCGGCACGCGATTCCGGCCTTTGCCGGGCGGGCGCCCCGTGTCCCAACCGTTCTAGGGCAGAGCGGGAGGGCCTAGGTTGCCGTCCGGCCGGTCCGCTTCTTTGGGTGCCCTCTCTCGGGCCCCCGGTCCTAGTGCGATGCCCTGCGTCTCTCGCGGCACGGGTCGCGTCCTGGGCATCCACTCTTCGTGGGGATTCTACCTCTACTTCCTGAGGCCGCGGCGGGGGCACTTGGCCTTGTAGTCCCACCGCCACTTGGTTTAGTGCCGCCGCTACTGCTTGCTGAATGGTTGCCTGGAGGTTCATGACTTGGTTCGCCCCTCCATTGTGGAGCTGGTCTCGGAGGTCCCCTCCATTGTTGAGTTGATCACGAAGGTCCCCGGGCCTCCCGTTGTTGAGATGTTCTCGGAGGTCCCCTCCGCGATTGTTGGTGAGTAGGTGACGGAGGTCGCCTGAGGCGTTGTCATTGTTCACATTGCCATTGTTCACGTTGCGAGAACCGTGGGAGCTGCGGGACGCCATTCTTTCAAGCTTGCTGTTGAAAGAGGAATGATTTTTTGTCGTAGCCTGCTTGAGTATTGGACTCAGGCTCTCAATGAAAGCACCAATGACGGTAATAACGTTACCGGTAAATAATAATATAATAATGCTAAAAGAGGGTAACAATAGCTGTATTGTCTTTTGTCTCAATATACAAAGTATAGTCTGCCATTGCTAGCTGAGGGGAGCCCCATTTATACTTAGGGTCCTAACGGTAACAACATGGGATATAAATGGGGAGCCTAGCCTTTAACTCTCTCTCATCAATGGGGACTTCAATGCTGGCTTCAATGGTAGTAAAGTGGCACCTGTTGAAATTCCTGACCGTTGGAGTTCTGCCCGTTGGGTTCCCATGTGATGCTGAGTCAATGCCCATTTGTGATCCGGGTCGGGTGCCAGCCCTATTATCCTGTCAGCAGTAATTCAATCATATTTGTTTGATTTCGAAAAAAAAAATCCATCCTCTCCT